GACGCGAACCGGTGACCTTCTTGCTGTGAGGCAACGGTGCTAACCACTGAGCCACCTTGCAGCCCCAAATGTATTAACACAAACTAAAATATTATGCACTCTTACAGATCAGTGATTTAAGGTTCCAACTTGACAAAGTAAAACAGCAAAGTGCAGCTAATGATGCCTTAGATATTTTATTAATTATGACAAAAATCCTGTAATATATACACAATCTAACACCATGAAGGGATCCATATTGTGTAATGAATATTTTTACTTTTTTGAACAGAGCTGATTCATCTTTACTTTTACTGTTTGCTGTTTTCTTTTCATTTTTTTTATTTCCATTGCATGTCATGACCACATTCACTTCATCCACCGAGGCTAATGCAGCACCAGCAGCATAGGATGAGACCTGCGTAGCTCTACTTCTATTCTTCATCCTTTCTTTTTTTTTTCTTTCCACACAGCAATAAAAACTGCATGTGTTGTTCTTTCCGCTGCCCCACCCTTTGCCATAGCTCTTGTCTTGCAGCCCAGGGATTGAGACATCTTCATCCCAGTCCTCTGTACCTCGGAAGCGCCATCAATAATTCTGCTAAAGAGTGCACTGAGCTGAAAATGGGAGGGGTTGGTTGGAGAGAGGTGGTGAGTGGAGGGAGGGGGGGGGGACAGTTGATGGCTTTTCCATGGCGCACTCCATCTCTCTGCCTCCCTCCGTTCCCGTTGTGCTCCCACACTTCCTAACATGACCTTCTGCAATGTTGTTTATCATTTTGTGCCGTATGGACAACAGGAACACACGCAGGCACGCAGCCTTTAGCTCTGCAATAAACAGAAAGCAGGCACTCTGAGCAGCTGAAGTATGCTCTCTGTTTTAGAGCCACAAGCAGCGGCTATTATTAATCAGCAGAAAGGGTTGGAATGTTACCATAAGCACAAAATAACAGATAATGAAATTTAATCAGTGCTTGAAAAAATGTAAAATGTATTACACTGCCTCTTATAGCCAGAAACGAAATGGCAGTTTCTGAAGGTTTTTATTAAACTGTATGCAGTTTGTTGGATGAATTTCAACTGAGGATTTTTAGCTTGTTGAGAAGAAATACACCAAAAACATTTTATTCATTTCTTAAATTAATTCAATTCAATTCAATTTTATTTGTATAGCGCAGTCATGCTGATGGTGTTGAGATATGGCATTTGTCACACTTATTTGTTCCTGCCCACCTTTTCTAGATTTTACAAACCCACCGTCATTTCACTCCACCTGACCTCACCCTCCCACCTCCTCAAATGTTTCCACTCTGCTCAATAAACAGTCTGTCTATCTTTACATTTTGCCCATCTTTAGACTCTCATCTCTGCTTAACCCAAGCTGGATCTATTCGTTAAGCTTTTTTTTCTGGTTGCCTGCCTGTTGTGAAATTTTGATTGTATCACTTGCAGACTTTACTGCCTTTCTGTTGTGCTGCTGGGTCAGATTACAGATCACTACCAGTGTTGGTCTGTCAGTCTGTCAGCCCAACACTTCAGTCCTAATCTGCCCAACCGGATGTGGACTGCGGGTTTAGACTTGTCATTGTACACACATTTCACACAGTTTTTTTCTTCCTTTCTTGTTTGCGTCGTGTTATCGTTTTCATCATCTTCCCCACAGGA